TGTTACAATCCCCCCACCGTGTGCCTTGATGTTGTTCCTCCACTATGCGTGGAGGGTGTCGACGGCGCGCGCTTGTGCGTTGCCACGGCGGCCTGGACTGGTCATGTCCAGGAAGTGTTGCAAAATCGGCATCAACAGCAGCACTTCACTTGTAGCAATAGCCTTGGACTGCACTAGTCTGCTGAGCATGCTGTGAACCAAAAGCTCGTCCTCCTTGGGCGGGTCAAAGCGCATGTTGAACACTGCCTGGCATGGCACAAGACCCCGTGTCCCACAGGCATGCCTTTTGCAGGGTCGTGCTGTTCATATGTACAGTGTACACATACGCAAGTAAGTTAATGCATACGTAAACTTGTAAACACATACATAACTACAGAGGAGTACATGAAGAAAACAGCCAAACACTCAAGACGCAACAGTAAGTATGTATATATGTATACACACATGCATACACATACAACATTATACGTATACAGACCATATGCATATGAACTGTTTGATTTTAATATACACACGCAAAGATAAACAGACAGACAAACAGACACTCTCTCTCGGACACAGACAAAGACAGAGCAGAGAGACAAGCGGCTGCGTTTCCGCAGCTTTTTGGTTCTTTTCATTACACGGCTCTTGCAGAGGCGCATTGCTGCAGGTGCCTGGTTGTGCATCGGTCTGGGTGGTAGCAGAGGCGCCGTCCGGGGATCGTAGGGATCACCTCAATCAGGACGTTCTGCCTCTCGGCCTCTTGCTGTAACCGCTCAATCGAGCTGCTGTCAGGGTCGTATTCCACCCACACTCCGTTCATCTCGACCACTCCAAGCGCCTCCCCAGAAGGAGAAGCAAGCTCAAGTTTTAAGCTGTTTTGCACCAGGACTTGTGCAATCGCCACTTTAAGCTAAGCTGAAACTGAGAATGTGGACACGAAAGCTGGGACGGGTTGAAATTCCGGTTATGGCTGGGTGCAAAACATGACAGCACAACTAGATCCATGAAAGCCCCTGGCTGATTCCCATCCCTCGAAAGCCCAGCAACGACTGCGGCAGCCCGGTCGGCCCCGTCACCATGTATTTATCCAACACGAGTAGGCCATGACACTGACCCGGAATCGAACATGTCTTGCCTTCCGTGAGCCTCCACTCCTGATGGGAGACCGAGGCCATT